TAGAATTGGGTTCATGATAGTGAGGTGGGGGGGAAGCATTAAAGAACTAGAAGAAAGTTGTATGTTTCGTCGGTGCTATTCTGCACCCTGACTGGCTGTCTCTTCCTTGTGACCTTTCTGTAAGGGGATGTCCAATTGTCTACAGATGGGCTTCGGGTCTCCACTCTGCACTCCCCCTCATTCCCATTGATAAGATTTTTTGTTTTGTGTCTTTGATACCTGATAAGTCATGGTATTTTCAATCATCTCATCTGCATGCAAAAACGGGGAAGTTGATGAAGAAGATTAAACATACCATGGATTTCCAGAAGAATGAACAAATTCGTCTTGCAAAAAATACAGCCACCTTTGGAGCCCAACTCCCAAATAAACCACACACACACACACTTTGTAGTTGGGAGCTGTCCCAGCCATGCTGTCTAGCAAAGCTACAGCCTGGTGGAAGAAGCATCTACAGAGCAGAGCTTCCCAGGGAGAGTGTCCAACATCCCTGGAACATTTGCTGTTGTTAAATCCATTCTTGAGAATTTTGTGCAGTGTCATGTTTACCGCACCTGGAGCGGATGCAAGGGCAGTGTTGAGAAGTACGAATGAAACCAGATCTAAAACTTGCTTCAATATGACAGGGCTTTCCTTAACTGAGTCATTGGAGAGGCTTAGACCATGAGACATCTTTGGGAATTCTGAGAAGGATATGTGGGAATTGAGTGAGGGAGAAACCCCAAAGTTGAGGTCAGAGGAGAAAATGAAGTCCACCAAAAAACCCTGGACTCCAATCAGATTAGGTAGTAGGGGACTCTTTTGGCCTCCCCGATATAGAGGACCTTATAGACTTCCTCCCCCAACTGACACCCCTTTACCTCGGGCAGGGGCTTACACAGAAGGAGAGAGAAAGGTTAACATTAATAGAAAACTCATAAAAGGGGAAACATTAAGTCTTTGGCAAAGAATCAAATGGTTTGGCTCCCCATGGTGCCTCAGGAGCAAAAAAAAATAACAGAGACGTAGGCAGACAATGGAACAGTTACCATAGGAGAGTTTGTAAAGGAAAATATTTGAGAAGCATTTAACTCTGCTTGTAGATTTTAGGCTTTGAAGTAGCACATGAGGTAGTTTCATTGTGTTAAGTTAGTCAACGAGAAAAGGAACATTGTGAGCAAAATATAGGGCAGTGAGTAGGATATGAGTCTAACCAAATTTTCTGAACACCTCCATCAAGAATAGGATGTGACGTAGAAGACAAGCAAGCAGTCCAGGGGGAAAGAACCAGGAAGAGGACAGAAAGTGACAGAAGAAAGTACAGAC